GAGGACCGGTCGAGCGACGGGCGACCCACGGGACTTTCCGTGGCCGGAATCGGGCCGGCCTCACTTGGCCTCCGTATGCCCGAATCCTAGGCCTCTCAGGCGTCGCCACTGCGGCGAGAACATGCCGCCGCGCCCGCGCGCTCTAGCCCTGGCCACAGCCCTCGCCCGGACCCCTAAGCGTGCCGTATGGCTGGCCAAGACCCTCCGCTCGGCCCTCCACCCATCACCACCGCCCTGCCTGCCCCCTGGGATGAGATACGACCCGGCGGGGCGGGCGGTACGCTGCCCGATTGGGCAGCGTCGAGCGCCGGCTTCTCCTCGGCCCCTGCGCCCCTGACTGACGGCCACGCGCGCCGTTCGGCTGCTCAAGGCACCTCGCTCGCCTCTCCGCCCCTCGCCGCTGCCCACAGCCCCCAAGACGATGCGCGACGACCCTGCAGGGCGGCCGGCAGACTGCCCGTCAGGTCAGCACCAGGTGCAGCGCTCGTAGCCGCCACGGCTCGCGCACTGGGGTCCTCCACCGCGACGACGACGACCCCAGCGACAGCAGCGACGACGGCCACGACAACGCCGCCGCCGCTCCTGTGTCGCTCCAAGGCCCACCCCACGATGGCATCCCACCCGACAGGGCGGTATGCATGCTGCCCGCCGGTGGAGTGCCCCAGATGGCCGCCACCTCTCCAGTCCCAAGCCCAGCTGCAGTTGCCACTGCTCCTAGAGTAGAAGCAGCTGCAGCTGCCCAAGTACCGCCTCATGCTGGTCACGCCGCCATGGAGCACCACGCGCGCTGAGCTGTACCAAGATCAAAAATTCTAGGCTCCCGCACGCGCGGAGCTTCAAGTCGGCGACGTGTTCAGCGTCTGGCGCAGCTTTAGCAGCACGAGGCTGCACGAGGACGACGGCGACGACATACATCAAGCCCATGAAGACCGTGTCGTCGTCGCCGACCTCATGGACGTTGACGAAGGTGATCAGTGGCCGACGACGGGACAGCGACCGCTGTCACTGCCACCTGATCTTCGCCTAGACGGCAAGCGCCGCCGCCTGAATGATGGCGAAGACGAAGACCAACGCGAGCTGGCCGAGCTGCTGTCGCTCGAAGAGGACGAGGTTACCCAGTGCCTAGGCTGTCTGCGGCCAGCGCCCGTCCGGCCTCCGGCCTCGCCGTGTACGCGCACAACGCGAAGCGCTTCACCTGCACGTTGGGCGTGTACTCGGCTGCCAGCTTCGCAGCGCTGACACGCCACCGAGACTCCCGTCATCGACGCGTCGTCTTCCGGGACAAGTTCTCCGCGGGCTGCTCATATGGCACGCCCTTTGCGTCGAGGTTGGTGGCAACAAGACACTCCCAAACGTGCGCCAGCCTCACGCACCCCCTCCGGCTGCGACTGCGCCAGCAGCAGGGGAATTGAACCCCACTGCTGATGCAGTCAACGCCACCACTCCGGCGGCCACCGACGTACTCGACTCGCCCCGCCAAGACACCTCGGAGCCCGCAGCGTCCCCCCACTGGCGGGCTCCCAACAGGCTGCAGCACTGTTGGGAGCCCGTTCTGATTGTCCAGTTGGTATAGACAATCCCCTCCGTAGTCATAACTTTGGGTATCACTTTTATTACTGTATTATTAGGCGATGATGCACCATGTACTTCGGGAACCGTTTTTTTATTCTTAGTGAGCGGTATTCCCACACCTTGAACAAACCAAACCAAACCAAACCAATTGGTTTGTATCGAAATGTAACTGTTAACCAAACCAGTTGGTTCAAACCAAAGGTGTGACGGGGTTACACAAAACTCTAACCGAAACGTTAACCGGGTAGAATTAGAGGTTTCCTATCTTGGTGTGTGAACACACCAAGATTGGGACTCCGGCCAGCAGGTTCGTGGACGCTGGAGCCCACCACTACCCCGACAACCGGTCGCCGAGCGCATAGCAACACGCCTCGATACAGTCCCAGCGCCCCGCTGGGGACCGCCACTGCCACGCAGCATGGTGGCGTCCAGAATCGCCGACCGCCCGCTCCCGCCGGCGGCACACGCCGAAGAGACCAAGGAGGACGAGGGGGCCAAGGACGACGGAGGACCCGACCCTCACGACGACGACCAGGATGGCGAGTGGCTTCTGCGCTTCGACGGCGTTTGCCAAGCGAACCCAGGACCAAGCGGCGCCGGCGCAGCATTGTACAAGCCCAGCGGCCCAGTTGTGTGGACCGCCTCCCACTTCGTGTCGAGCAGCAGCGAAGCCAACAACACGGCAGAGCACACCGCGATGCTGCTCGGCGCCCGGGCGGCTGCCGACCATGGAGCGACGCACCTATGAGTACGAACGGCTTCAGCCGTTCTCCCAGACGCAGCGCCACCGCCAACCCGGACCCCAGCACCAACAGCAAACGGACCGACAACAGCAGCCCCGCACCAACCGACGTCGACGCCACCGCCGTTCCCAGCAGCACCAGCGGAACCGACCATCTCGCGTGACCCGCCACCACCGGGAGCACCGCCTCGACGAAGCCCTGGACGACCTTCATGCTGTGGAGAGGGCCTCACCCGGCGACCGCACTGCTGTCCGTCGAGCCCGTCGACGCGTCGGCCGCGTCAATTCGGCCATCTCCCAGCAACATCTGCACAACCGTTTCGACAAGGACGAGAAGGCCTGTGTCGATGACATTCTGGCCAAGGCGCGCGAGCAGTGTGTGGCGGCGATGACGGCGGGCCGAGGCAGCGACGCAACACCACGACCAGCACCGCCAGTGGCTGCGGACGTAGACGACGGCACCTGCCCCATCCCGGGTGCAGACCTCTGGCGGTTCTTCGACGGTGTTAACACACCACGCCAGGAGTTCGCTCCGGATGCAACGGTGGGAGCCACCTTCCGCTCGGCGATGGCGCGACTGCCGACTGCATCGAAGTCCCGGGAGCTGCTCACGGAGGCACCAACGCTGAACAACATCGAGACACAGCTCAATCACGTCTGTGGCGCCTCCAGCCCCGGCCTCGACAGTGTGGGATACGACGTGTACCAGCGCTTCGCAGCAAAATCGCAACCGGTGCTGGCTGCATCCTTCCAGAAGTGCTGGGAGTCCAAACAGGTACCCCAGAGCTGGAAGCTCGGGGTAGTACGCCTCCTCCACGAGAAGGGCCCACGTGGAGACCCAGTGAACTGGATGCCCATATGCCTCCAGCAATAAATCTACAAGCTCTACACTGGAGTCCTCGCGCGGCGGCTGGTGCGATGGCTAGACCTCAACGACCGTCACGCGCCCGGCCAAAAAGGCTTCCGCTCGGTCAACGGCTGCGGGGGCACAACTTCCTCGCGGCCACGCTCGTCGACCAGGCCCGCCGCAAGTGTCGCACCCTCTTTGAAGTCTGGTACGACTTCCGCAACGCGTTCGGTAGTGTACCGTTCGAGCTGCTATGGGATGCGCTGACACGACTTGGCGTTCCCGAGGACTACGTCGCCATGTGCAAGGGTCTCTACGAGAGTGCAGCGTTTGTCGTCGGGAACGCTGTGGACGGTACCACGGACCCAGTCCAACTGCGTGTCGGCGTCTTCCAGGGGTGCCCGCTCAGCCCGCAGCTATTTAATGCTGCCATCAGCCTGCTGCTCTTTGCGCTGCAACAACTGCCTGACACAGGCGTGCAGCTTTCAAGCGATGACAGCCTCGGTGTCTCGGCGTACGCCGACGACCTCAAGATCTTCAGTGGCATCAAGCGACAAGACGCACTCGTGAGCGACTTCCTGCGCTGGACTGGCATGGCAGCAAATCCAGGAAAGTGCTGCACCATGTCGGTCCAACGCTACCATCGTGGCATGCTCAAGGCGGAAGACCTCCACCTCCAGCTTGACGGTTCGCCGATCCCCGCGCTGTCAATGAGCGCCTCGTACACCTACCTGGGGATCGGCGACGGCTTCGACCACGTACGCCGCCGCGTCGAGCTCGCGCCGACCCTCAAGCTACTCAAGGACGACGCGACAGCGCTCATGCAGTCCGGTCTTGCTCCATGGCAGGTGGTGAAGGCGGTGAAGACGTACCTCTACCCTCGGGTGGAGAACGCACTTCGCCACCTCCACCCCTTCCAGCTGCAACTTGCTTCGACAGACACTTGGCGCGTGGCCTCCGCCATCTCCTTCGCCTGCCCGTCACCGCCACAGCGGAGTGGCTCTACGCGCCGGCTTCACGCGGCGGACTGGGCTTGTTGCCACTGACGGAGCTGCACGCGGCGCTCCAAGTCGCACACGGATGGCAGATACTGCATACCAAGGACCCAGCCATCCGGCGCATCGCGCGCGTGCAACTCCGGCAGATCGCTGACGCACGACACCGGCTCGACGCTCACGCGTGGGAGGGGGTGACGAGGAGCTGTGCACGATGCTCCTCGACTCCCAGCTGGGCACGTCGCCGGACGCACCACCGAAGCGGAGTAACGGGGACATTGGCTCACTCTGAATCGACGTCAAGCGTCATCTCCGCACACTCGAGCTCAAGCTCGAGACGGTGCCTGCGTGCACGGAGACCGGGGCTGCTGCGCCACGCTCCAACTTCGCGTGACGCATCACGAGAAGTGGCTAGACCACCGCACCGTGTTGCGGCACGTGAAACTCCACATCAAGCACAAGCACTGGCGGCGCTGGGCAGAGATGCGGGACCAGGGCAAGACGGCACGGGCTCACGGCGAGACTGGGAGCGTGTTCCTCACGCGTCCTCGGGGACTTTGGGAGTCCGACTACCGCTTTGCGGTGGCCGCCCGCTTGAACCAGCTAGACACCCACAGTGTCCTCAAGCGCCGGCGGCTCTGATCCCACGACAAGTGCAGACACCCAGTGTGCGCGCGCTCGGAGACACTCGCGCACGTGCTCAACCATTGCCCTTGCACAATGGACGCGGTCTGCGGTCGCCATGACGACGCGCTCAAGACTATTGAGCGCGCACTCGTCGCGTCGTCAAGCGACAGCAAGGACCGCGTCGAGATCCGCACTAACCAGACAGTGCCGTCGCTTGCCGGCCCCGCGCTACGTCCCGACCTCCAACTCTACAATCACACCAAGAGGACGGTGGCGGTGGTCGACCTGGCCGTGGCGTTCGAGGAGCAGGCGGACGACGGCACTGAGAGCTCCGCACTGGCGCGCATCGCCGCGCACAAGCGCACCAAGTACGGACGGGTGCAGCGCCATCTCGAGCGCCAAGGGTGGAAGGTCCACCTCCCGGCCCTCGTGTACGGGTCGTGGGTGCGATGGCATCCAGCAGACCACAAGGTCTACACGGAGCAGCTCGGGCTCCTTAAACGCGATGCGAAGCGGCTGGACAGGTAGTTCTTTGCATCATGCATTCAGTCCAGCCGCCGCATCTGGAATCTCCACTGCAGCCAGCACCGAGACCGCCAGCAGCAACGACACCAGAACGCACGGGGCAGTCGGGTGACGGAGAAGACCGGGGGGACTCCGTCACAACTGGCCGCCGCTAGTCGGTAACCAGGCCCATCGCGGCCGACAGGGCCACACCCATGTAGGGAACCGCCCTCTAAACCCATTTCGGTGATCAAGGCCGACTTAACATCTAACTGCTAGGTATCAGATAGACACCGCGCCGTGCCACTGCTTGGCACTGGCGCCGTTTCATCGACGGCAACTTCGGGCACGGGTTCAGGACCCGCAGCGCCCATTGCACAGCAACTGCCATCGCGCGCCGGACCCGCGGGCCCCAAGGCAGCTCCCGGTCCTCCAGCACGACATTGCGTCGTTTCGAGGACCGGTCGAGCGACGGGCGACCCACGGGACTATTGTATATATTCCTTTTAGCAATTTTAAACTTCTGAAAATAATCTACCATTTTAGATTACGAAATATTTCCTATTTAGCAATTTATACAAAACATTATCATATTACTATTGTATATATTCCTTTTAGCAATTTAAACTTCTCCATAAATGTACGATTTTTACCACGAAATATTTCCTATTTAGCAATTTATACAAAACATTATCATGGGCGACCCACGGGACTATTGTATATATTCCTTTTAGCAATTTTAAACTTCTCCATAAATGCTACAATTTTAGATTACGAAATATTTCCTATTTAGCAATTTATAGTTTTCCAACGCAAACATTCCTAATTATGGCAAATACTTCCTTCCAAGAATGACGGGGTCGACGCAGAGACAAACCTCTTTTTAAACCTTCTCGGCCTTTTGGCTAAGATCAAGTGTAGTATCTGTTCTAGTCCGTGTGAAAACTGGGTTTCATCATTTTTGGGGATCTTTTCACATTCTTTTTTGGACATTCTTTGTTTTTCTAGCTTGCTAAGAATTCAGAGAACGGTCTCCGGGGGTTTCGCCACTACCCCCGCGAGGCCAACTACCTTGTTCTTTACTACTTTCCTATATCTACTTCCACTCCGGTCCTTGACCTTGCCCCTACTGTCCTTGCGGACATTTTCTTTTTGGCTAATCAGATCGCACCATGCGTTTCTTTTGGCCAATGAGATACCGATCGTGGTCCTCGGACTCCGAGGCCTCCACCGCCAGCCAATCCAGCGTGGCCAGCGACGCGTCTTTCTACAGCGCACCGTCTGGCCAATCAGAGCGGGTCAGATGGAGCGGCGCATGGCTACACTTCGGCCGACGACGGCGCGTCACATGGGTACCCCCGCTCTGATTCTGAGTCAGGGCTGGGGGTACACACTTTTGCCCCTGTTTTGGGCTGGCCTGGGACAGAGACGGGGCTGATGGAGCCTCCACGCGCGCCGCTGCTGTTCAGCATGGACGCAATCTCAGGCGCTGCAACTTTGGGCAGGGGATTGCAACCCCCTGCGTCCATTGCGAGCCAGCTGCCATCGCAGACCGGGTCCCTTGTCGCCCACGACCTCCTTGGCCCAGACCCGGCTCCCAGCGGCCCACCAGCAGCGAACCCTCGCACCTCGGCCTTATCGCCGGGCGCCGCCGGCCATGGCAGCGTCTACGAGCCCCCGACGGACCCGCAAGCGCGCCGTTTGGCGGACGACGACACCCAGCGGGCTCCTCGCGCGCCTGGCGCCGCCCTGCCTGCTTCCAGCGAAGTTTTCCGACCCGGCAGGGCGGGCGGCACGTTGTCCGTTTGGGCAGCGCCGAGACTCGGCCACAGCGCCTCCCTCGCGCCCTCGACGGGGCCCCAAGCGTGCCATGTGGCAGCTCAAGACCTGCCACTCGGCCGTCCCGCCTCCACCACCGCCGCCCCCGGCCATACCGCCAGGGGCGGCGCTGGTGGCCGCCACACCTCGCGCTCTGGCGGTCGCCACGGGCACCGACAACTTCGCAAGCGACGACAGCGACGTCTAGGACGGCCAAGACCAGCCGCTCCGCCCACCAGGGCGAACGACACGCGGCGCGCCGCAACCGCCCTCTGTCTGGCGCTCGAGCGCTCCCCTGCTCGTGTCGCGACCACCCCCAAGATCGACAGCGACGACGAGGACGGCCAAGACGACCTCGCCGCCACTCCTGCGACCCTGGAAGATCTCGCGAGTGTGCTGCCTCGACCCGGCAGGGCGGGCAGCATGCTCGCCGACGAAGCCACGGCCCCACCACGTCCAGCTGCGGCTGCCACTACCACTGAGGCAGCAGCAGTCGCAGCTACACCAACAGCACCTCCTGCCGATTGCACCGCCGTGGAGCACCGCGCCAGCGAGCGCAGCGAGGACGCAACAAGCCAGGGACCCCCCACGAACACCTCCGGCCCACAAGCGGCCAACAGGACCCTGTGCTGACGGTGTATGCGCACAATGCAGCACCTTTCGTGTGTGCGTTGTGCGTGCACACCTCCCGCGGTCTCGCAGCGCTCGCGGCGCATCTACGGACGTCGCACCGCAGCACCTGTTTGTGGAGCACTTCCACAGCGGATGCGTGTGCGGCATCGGATTCCGGTCGCGTGCAGCGGCCCCAAACACGCCATGACCTGCACAGAGACTCGCCGCCGCCCCACCTGCCCAACCACACCTGGGCACAACGACAGCGCGGACGAAGACCCCCAAGCCCGCGTCTGTGTCTCGTGTGTGGCAGCACGATGTGAACTCTCCACCTTCCGGTCCCTTCGTTGCGGTGGTGCCTGTGGCTGTAGCAGCCGCACCACGCGACACTGCGGTCACAGGTGCTACCAACCCCCAGAGCGCCGTGTCTCCCGCAGCTGGGCACCAGTACGTCCCCCCGTACTGGTGCCACTCTCGCCACCCCCAGAGCTTCGCGTGGACGGAAAGCGCCGCCGTCTCAAATGCGGCCCATGACGCGCTGGACCTGGACGCACTGATGCAGGAAGCGGAGGACGAGTTCCTCGAGGAGCTCGA